TGGGAACTTGACTAACAATGGGTTAAGTTTCTCCTAACACCCCACTACTTGTTAGTTTGTGTGCAGTGCAGAAGCACTTTGTGTCAATAGCCCCAATAGAGGATATGGGGAGCACAGAACCACTTGGTTCCCCCCAAAATGGCTAAAAATAAGAATCAAAAGGCACCGCTAGGTATATGGATATTTAAATAAGCAGGTGTTAAAAATTACATGGGAATTATTTTTGTGTGACAGGATATCTTTGAAAACATTTGCAAGTTTGGCCACTAAAATTTTAAATATTGAAGTATAGAATTATAAAGCCTATGTAACATACTGTGTGTTACCTATAATCCAGGTTATGAGGAGGTAACCATATGCTAGTTAATAGTTAACATCAAGGTGGGTATAAATGTTCATCTACTAAAATTTACAACAAAATTAATAGCTTATTTATATCATCAGTAGCTATTTTGCTATGAAAGGCAGTTCTTAGATGTACAAATTTAAATATCTGTACTTAGATTTACAAATTTTGTTTTTCATTTTTTTCTCTCCAGGATCCAAAACAACTTAATGGCCTTTGATAATATCGTATGTAATTTAATCCATATTTATTCAAGAGAAATCTTAAAGGACAGGGATTCAACAACACATCCCTGTGTCTTGTAGAACACTGAAGAAGTCTTATAACGTGGTGTGCATTCGATCTTTTCTTTGTCAGTGTGTGTGCGCCACAGTAGTTGAGGATACAGGCTCTGACATCAACTTACCTGGATTTGACACTCAGCTTCCCCATGTACCAGCCTGGACAAATACTTTGTGTCTCGGTTTTCCCATCTGAAAATGGGAATATCAATGGTAACTACCTCTTCAGATTGTAGCAGCTAACCACCTCTGCCACCCCTGTGATCTATATAAACAATTTTGATCAGGCACACATCAGGAAAAACGAAGGCTGTGCCCACTCCTCATATCCATAAGCTTAGGAGTTACATTAATTTACCTGAGTACCAACATGTGTTGTATATTTTATAAAAGAGGAAATGGATATTTTTACCTGAATACAAACTACATTGTGTATGTCATAAAAGAGGAAATGGAGCCCTAGCCAGTTTTGCTCAGAGGTTAGAGCATCAGTCCTTGGACTGAAGGGTCTCGGGTTCGATTCTGGTCAAGGGCATGTACCTCGGTTGTGAACTTGATCCCCACCCCCAGTCAGGTGCTTTCAGAAGGCAACCAATCGATGTCTTTGTCTCTCCCTTCCACTCTGAAAAGCGATGGAAAAAATATCCTCGAGTGAGGATTTAAAAAAAAAAGAGGAAATGGAGATTTTTAAACTCTGAGAAAAATGAAATGAGCAGTTCTTACTTCCCACCAAGGCCCCTCTGCACCCCCTTTTGGAGATGACTGCTCTGATTCAGCTCCTCCCAGAGGGAGTTGGTGCTGTGTGTCCAGCCCAACAACCAAAGGGCCATTGCAGTGAGGGCGAGCAGTGTGTCAGGACAGGGTGGGTCGCCAACGGCGGCCGTAGCTAATGAGGACAGACTGCTGTTCTAACAGCTGCGGGGGTGGTGGTGGGCGTGTAGCCCGTATTTGGGCATGAAATCATGCCTGCCACTGGGGTGCTTTCCTGGGGCCAGACTTATTACTAAATGTGTCTTGTGCATGGTTTTGTTTCTTACAACACCCTTAGGACTTCAGGACTGTGAGCTAGCAGAGCCAGGAATCGAAACCTAGGTCAGTCTCACTCTGGAGCCCTATGTTCTCAGCCCCAGTGCTGAGAAAGTTAAACAGGAAATCCTCGAGGTGGCTGCTGCTATTGGGTAACGCATGGAAGACAGTTTCTGAGACTACCACACCCACTTGACTTCCTGCAACATCACCTGTCTGAGGGACACTGCCCAGAGGGGGTGGCTCCTAGTTCTCAAGGTGTGAGGAGGTGTGTTTTAAGGAGAACGGGCCCTATCTCAGTATTTGTATGTTACGCCAGTTAAATTAAGAGTAGAATTGACTAGATTTGTGGAATTTTGAACAAGGACCTGGGAGACCAGACAGAATTCTGCGCCATTGGAATTAATGTGCTCTGATGTAAGACAGTGCCTTCTACCAGGTACTATTTGCAATTCAGTGGGGCACACAAACCATTGAACATGCAAAACTAATACCATCAAAGAAGAGAATATCACTCACCTGGACATGAGAGTGTGTTTATGAAAGCTGGGCACAGTGAAACAAAGGAAGGGTTTAAGATAGAGGCGGCAAGATCATATCAGTTGTGGAGCTGCCTTGGCCCTTGAGAAACATGAGGAAGAGTGGAGCCTACACGTGGCTGCCTTGGTCCTTTAGAAAGTCACAGAGGCAAAAGAAGTGAGCCAGCTGGGCTGTGTAGAACCAGGAAACAAGTAACCAAGACAAAAAGAGGGGCCCTTGGAGAAAGAAAGCAAAAATACGGGCCTTAGGAAAGAAGGGAGCGGGGGAGGCGCGGGCATGCTCTAGAGAGCACACCCTGGGTCCTTTGTGTTAAGGAATTTTGTTTTCTAAAGGCAGAGCTTTTATAGAATGTCTCAAGAGGATCTCAGTTTTCCAAGTGTGTCCTTTATTCATCAGCTTTCCAAGTGTTTCCTTTAAGGGTCATGGTCTCTACTGATTGGTCGGTGCCAGGGGTAAGAGTCATTAGTCATTGCATCTGGTCCTGATGTCAGCCATGGCGTTGCTTCATCTGGTTTTGCTGCTTTTCTGGGCCTGGAGCGGAAACACTACTGAGGCCTAGATGTTGTCTCTAGTTTGACCAAAACTCTGTCTCTGGGGTCAAGGCTTTGTTCCTGATTATTTGATGCTGATCAGAACCTCATTGTCCTGAGGGCGTGATGCTAAGGGAGTGGTCACTCAAGGGAGAAGGAGGCAGGTGAGTCAAGGGGATGGATGAGGCCAGTCTGAATCAGCTGTCTCAGTTTCCTCATTCCACGTACCAAAGAATTTTCCTGGCTTCTTACTATCCTGTCTCATAATCGTTTGTAAAAAATATTTTTTATTGATTTTTAGAGAGAGGGGGAGAGAGAGAGAAACACTGATTGGCTGCTTCCCACGTGCCCTCCACTGGGGATCAACACCACAAGCCAGGCATGTGTCCCAATGGATAATCAAACCGGAAACCCTTCAGTGCACGGGATGACGCCCAACCAACTGAGCCACACCGGCCAGGGGCTGCCTCACAATCCCAAAGCTAGAGGAAACCTGATAAAGTACCAAGTCCAGAGCATTTCAAATGGGATTAACTAGCACTCTTAGGTGACTCACATTATGTCATTTACCCAGTGCTCAGTGGCCAGGGTGACAACAGAACAGAGATTCTTTTTGTTGTATAACACAAACATAGAGGTGTTTTTGTTGTATAACATTTCCTCATTCATTTGTTTATTCATTAATTAAAAAACATTATTTACAAGCCTCAAATTGAAATAATTAGATAAAATGAAAATGCAAGTTGCAGAAGCAGCTTGAGGTCTGGTCCCATATTGTAAGTAATATTTAATATATAGTGAGTCTAGAGTAATGTACACCAAATTGTTTACATGTTCTGGTGAAGGAATTAGAGGTAAGTTGTATTTTATATTTTCGTGTTTGAATTTTTACAAAGAAAAATATCAACTCTACAATCATAAAAATGCAATGGGTATTTTTTAAACTTTTCAATCCTTTCTTTAGTTCAATCCTGGACTTACTCATTTCTATATCCTACTGAGCCCAATGCCCTGCTCAAAGTCCACACGAAATAAGTGCTCGAGTGAAAGGACTTGTGGTAGGATAGTAAGCAGCTAGGAAAATCCCTGGGCAAGTGGAATGGGGAAACAAGAAAATTAAGGCCAAACAGCTTGGGCAGTTTGCAGCCAGCTTGTGAATTGCAAGACCTTGTCTTCCCCAAACAAGGACACTTGAGAGCAAGTCTGGTTAGGGTGGGTAACCTCTCCATCCTAACCAGAGAACACATAGTGAAAATCACCATGGCCTGGGAAAATAGAGAACAAAGACCCAATTAATGCCACTTGTGCCAGCTCAACTCAAGGACAAATATCACTTGGAGGATGCTAGGCAGGAAAGGGGGGAAGAGGGAAAGAAAGGGAAGTTTTATCTCACCCACTAAACAAAGAAGTCGGCTGCCTTAGGACTTGCCAAAAGAGATGACCAGATGGACAAACATCCCAGGATAAGCCGTAACAATGTAGAAGGGGACTCTGAAACCCAGTCTGCTACCCAAGGTATCCCGCAAGGAAACTAAAACCTGTGGGGAGAAGGGTATAAAACCCCTTGAACCCCTGCTGGGCGAACACTCAGGCTAGTTGAGTTGCCTGCTTGCGCTGTACACCAAGTGCATTTTTAATACATTTGCTAGCTTTGCTTCCTTAATTCCCTTGCTCTGCTTCAACGCTGCTGTCGCTCATCTGAAATCTTACGAGACTGAGGAGAGCCAGGAGGGGACAGCACCCCTCCGACGCAGGGGACTGTCCGACAACACACCCAGTAAACCTGCATGTGGAAAAGGACTCTGTTAGGGTGAAGGATGGTTATTTTCAGGGTGAACCTAAAAAGCGCAAAATCTTCATTTCGTTAATAAGCTTTCAAATGACGTGGACACTAGTGGCAACAGGGATGGCTCTTTTCAATGCAATTCACGTTGGGCAGGTCAAGCGCCTTGGGTGCGTCTTTGTGGGCCACCAGTGCACATCGCGCCAGTCTTCAAACTCAGGGATCTCGGGCCTCCAGATCCAGTGAAGGAAGTGACTCCTTTGCGGCTGCCGGGCCTCCGCACTCCGCCCCGCTCGGTCCGCGCTGGGAGCCCAGATATCGGGCGTTGCCCGCCCGTACGCGCCCGGCACTACTCTTGGTCCACACATCCAGCGCCCCTGTGCCTGCGGGCGGAAGTGAGTGGGCGGGACACCCTCCCGCCCCGCCCCGGAAGTGGGCGGGTCCCAGCGGACCCCATTACTGTCCCCGCGGCTTCCCTCGCAGTAGTGTTGCCGCGGAGGCCGGTCCTGACTTTGTAGCTCGCTCAAGATGGCGGCGCAGCCACCCAGCGGGATCCGCCTCAGCGCGGTGAGCAGCCGCGAGGGGTGGAGCGGCCGTGTCCCAGGAGGGCGGGCAGGCGGGCAAGCGAGGGGGGGCCGGCAGTGGGCGGTGGCGACTCGTCGGCCGAGCGGCTGGGGCCGCGTTGGGG